AGCGGTTCACCTTGGCATGCAGCATCTTTGCCAGAGGCCAGCAAGTACTGATGCTGCTCTGAACAGAACCACATCAGAGGGCAGCACGAACAAGCTGCCTGGGACACACACAGCTGTATGGTGCTCAGCCAGGGCAGGCTATACATGCAGGCTCCCCCTGTGCCCAGTAGCTGATGCATGGAGAACAGTCAGGTGATGAAATCCCAAGCACAAGCACAAGCAAAAGCACTGAGGAGAACCCTGCCCAGGTCAAAGAGTTTCTCACCTATTGCCCCTGAGCCCTGCACACCCCACAGCTAGCCTTGGCATGCACTGAACAGCTCCAGTTGTCTCCTGCTTGTTATCCATGTGAGAGGATGACGGTGTTGCCATGAAGGCAACAGATGGGTCAGCACCTGGCAAGTCCATAATCTTCTCCATCACCTGGGGAACCAAGCCTGCCCAAAGTCATGTTCAGGCAGTATTTTCCCAGGCCTCCCAATGCACAGGCAGAGTGTGCATGTGGTGCTAAGGAATATCTGGAGCAGCCTTAATGCTGGCAGGCAAGCTGGGCCTGAGCACAGAACAATGAGTATCATTGCAACAGCATCCAGCTATAGGGGTTTCCAGACCTACCTCCAGGATTGGGCACATAGCATCTGCTGTGGTACCTCCCAGCACCTTGCAGAACTTGTAGAAGGACTCCAGGTAAGCCTGGAAAAGAAAGGACAGGTGAGGACTCTCCTTCACAGGTTCACCTAGTGCCCCACAGGGCCATTCAGCAGAGGACAGACAGCAAGCAGGGATGCTCCCAGAAACACAGGAGCTCCCACTCCACATGAACTTGGATGCCAAACCCACACAAGGAACTGTGCTTCTGCAGGAGCTGGAGACGTGAAGGGTTGTGGTTGGGTTGGTTCACGTGACTGCATGATTTTACTGCAGGCAAGAGCCCCTAGCAGCAAAGTTAAAGCCCATTTTGCTCCTTTGAGTTGTCTAACTCCACCACATTTACTGAAGTCTCACATGGTTTCCTGACCCTGCTCTGGCCTCCAAAAACATGCCAAGCCACATAACTGTAGCTGCAAAACCTAGGCTCAGAAAGTACCGCTGTGCAAGTGGAGTCAGGAGATGAGACAGGACATCTGTGAAGGAAACCAGCCATCCTCTGCAATCCTCTTTTCACACTGCAGCTGCTTCGTCATCATCCCAACTGGAGCACTGCAGAAAACATGTAAGACTAAGCACAGCCACGCTGCCTCCAGGAAACGTAATCCTTTGCAGAGATACAGTATAAGCCAGCTGGAAGATGACTGTGTCTCCCAGGGGGAGCCTGTGAAGGCTGTGCATGGCTAAAAGTACTGTTCAGCAAAAACTTTCTCAGAAGTCATCATGTGATAAAATACCTCCCTGGACAGAGCACTGCAACTAGAATTACTTATAAGGGATGGAATAAAATGATGCTGAGACATCACAAATCTCTGCTTTACCACAACTACACCAGGACTGAAGATGGACCAAGAATGCATGTGTTGGACACCCTCAGCCTCTGCACTAGGATAGCACCTGGATTACTATGTTCTGTAAATATTTGCTACCACACAGTGCAAGAGGACACTGCTGGGTGAGCATCACACAAAGAAACATCATCTCCAGCGCTTGCCACTGCTCAAGTGCAGGAGAGCACAGAGCATCAGCCTGCAGTTACCACAGGAACAAGGACACGGATAATGGACTTTGCCTGAGGCCAGCAGAAGAGGGAACCTGGATGAGAGTGTCAGTCACTACTTATGCCCTTCCCAGAGTTCACACTCAAATATCCAGCGCTGAATGAGGATCCAGTATCACAGACACCATGGGAACACAGACTGTAGAAACGTTGCACTGGGTACACCCACCGTGTACTCTCCAGTGTTCTGAACCCCTCAGCCCAGAAACAGTTGTGTCTTTGCATCTAATAATTCTTAACGCACTTTTATTTTCATGAACCCTCTATTTTTATTTACCCTCTACCTCCTGCTAGTCTCATCAGTCTGTCACATGCAGCCTAAAGGGAGACCTGTGGCTTTGTACAGCCACACTAACTTTTCCAACACTACCTACAGCTACCACATCTTGGATTCACTTCTCTTCTAGGTGAGGAACCGTAATTTTTTTTTGCAGTTTCCTATGCAGAAGCCCTTGTACCCAAATCCTTAAACAAGTCCTCCTTAGCAGCTTCTCCTGTCCCACTGTTCATATTCAAAGATGAGAGAAGAGAGGAATGAGCATTTAGAACAAACAAGTCAGATGTATGCAGCAGCACAGTGATATTTGTGCAGTTCTTTTCTAATGTTACGAACAGATTACCTTGGAAAAAGACACTTCCTTAGGGCAATCAGAACCTAAGATTACATTTAGTAGTAGAAAGGAACAAGGAGACCCTCACTGTACAAGCAGGGTTAGGATTACCTCCTTGCCTCTCCCATATACCACTCCACATTTATCCACATTGATCTGCCTGCTGTATTTTACTGTCCAGTCACAAACCTCCTTCAGCTGTTTCCTACAAGAAGGTCAACAGCAAAGGCCACTAGTCAGCCAGCTTCACTTCAACATATCCATTAAAGATATGGCAAAAAGGTAGTAAGCATCGAAGATAACAATGCCAGCGTGCCTCCTCTGCAGGACTCCGCTGCTGACTGCCCTCTACACTAAAAGCTGACCACTTAACTTTTAACCTCTGCTCCCCATCTTAACCATACTTCCATTCAAGAACCTTCTCACTTGTTAGTGCTAACAAGAAACCTTTGTATTTGCTTTCCTTTTATGAATCCTGCTCAAAGCTTCTGTCTACATGCTCATGGATTCCTTCAAAAAACCTCCAGTAGGTCTGGGAGGTAGCGCTTCCCCTTCCCATACCGACTCCTTCAGGCCATGGGCATCCATCCCAGGCACCCGCTCCTCAGAGCGGCTCTGTGCAGATTTCCATCCTGATTTAATTTCCCTCATTTGCCTGTGGAAACCATTTGCATTGTCTTATACATTTTCCAGTCCCTGGGGAGAGAGGTGGATTCAAGTGAGATTCTGTAAGCAGCAGTGACCTTTCCACCCTCACATCCGTCTGATTTGTTACTGACAGAGCTCCTGTGTTCCCTGGGGGCTGCTCTTCAGCAAGAGCCAGTCCCAGCACATACCAAGAGATATCAGGCATCCACGCTTCAATTTGGAGGTAGGAAGAGCAGAATGCAAAGCAGTATCAGGCCTCAAAAAGGAGATGGGAAAGGACGTAGCAGGTGGGACCCAACGAGATGCCCCCTATACTCCCCAACCTGTTTGTCCTGTGCACAGAGGTCTGCACCCTGTAACACTGCAGGTATTTATGCTAACAGGCTACCTCCCACCATTACAGCAAAAGACCAGTACATGCCAGAGGCCACACGTAGCTGGGCATGACTGCTGACACGCAGCTCCTTCTCCTCTCCCTTCACCTTCTTCCCTTCACGCCTGGCCTGTTCTCTGCCTCTCCCACCAGGCCATGGCTTCCTTGGGAAGCAGAGGTCACACTGACTGCAGACTGGCTGTGACCAGCCAAAACAACACTAGCAGATACAATCTGCATCCCACCCTTAATCCAGAGAGTCAAGATGGAGCGATAGCCACAGCCTGCACATAAACACATGCTTTGATACTGCCAGCTAAAACCAGACAGGGCCTGCAGAGATGACAGCTCCCTGTGTGGACTCAGGACAACGAGATCCTTAGCCCTTCCTCATCCCTATACCAATACGCCCCCAGCCTGCAGGACTCCTCCACCCCAGCTGCACCTTTTACACTGCTGTACTGAGAGCACCTAACCCCCAACCATGGCCACCGACGGCTTGAGCAGGCTGTTGGAGGCTCTTCTAGAAGAGCTCAAGAGAGAGAGCCATGCCTGTGAAAGTCTTTCAGCCATGTTAAGATCTGGCCACCGTAGGCCTTTGAATGCACTTAACTACACATCTAAACTCGTGTGGTTAAGGAGTAGCCTTCTCCTGCCTGCTTGGGGCCTGAGGAAATTTAAAGACATAAATTCTGCAAAATGTCTTGCACAGACTCTTCAGTTTGACAGCTTAAAAAAAACCAAAAAAACCAACCAAACAAAAAAAAAATGCAAACCAAAACAACACCCCCCTCTGCCTGCCTCACTAATGTAATTCTGCAGAGCTGGGTTATTGGATGGCAGGGACCTCCAAGTGCACTGTCTTTAATTTCCAGTGGATGCAACTATTTCTTGGTCATGTTTACTCTATCACCACTCCAGGGAAGAAAAAGAGAGAAAAAGCAAAGTTACTAAGTCCACTCCAAGAGGAAAATACCCTCCCATCTTTGGCTGAAGAAAGCCAACCTAGGTTGGAGCTCCTGACCCAAGAAAGACCTGTAGTCATACTAGGAATAACCAGGCAAGTTAACATCTCTTTCCTTTCCTACAGACTCACTCACCTTATACAGCGTGTTTCGAATTATTTCAATATTCATTTCATCCAGGTCCTGTTCAGATATGCAATCTTGGAAGAAAGCAGCTGAAACAGAGCCACAGACAGAGTTAGCATTGCCCTAATCAGATCCATACCCAGCACTTTCCAGACTCTTCAACAATACCAGGCAAAAGCACACTCTGTGTTGAGCTTGTCTCTCCTAGGCCAGGCCCTTATCTTCAATAGCCACCAAATTGCCATGATTCAAAACCTCAGGCTCCACAGGCCACAATCATTTTGGGGGCTCTCCCATGGAAGTCTTTCTTCACCCGTTAGTCCTATGGTTTGCTTAACAGCCTGTTCTCAGCTCTAGACCCCAGCATCAGTGCCAGAGCAGCCTGTGTTCAAAAACAAGCAAAACCCAAACTCTTCCTAGATGCAGGCATTCAGAGGTGACAAGACAGCTTCCCAAGTGCCTGCTTAGGCATCTGTGAGACAGCAGCTAGCAAGTCCTGAGGAGCTTGATGCTTTTCCTTCCTTCTCCAATGAGGCATGGAGATGTCACAGCTCCTACAGCCCATAACACGCCATGGTTGGAGTCAGGAACTGTTTCTCCTGGTCAGGCCTATCAGTCCCATTTTCCACCTCTTCCAATGACTTCTATTTCTCTATCTGGAGGTAAGAAACAGGAGACAGGATGAACTAGTGGGTTTTGGTAGGATGCTCAGCCCTACATACTTTGCCAAAGTATCTCTGGGAAGGAGTTTGAGAAGATGTTTCCACCTAAGAACACAGATTTCACACCTAACACATCTTTATCTGGAGCTTGTAGTACCATGAGTCTTGTACATTTAATGTAACATAAGGCTGTTGTGCTCTTGCTGACAAGCAAGTGATACAGTAAGACCCATTGACAGGACTTTTAATGACTTCTTCAACCCTCACTCAGCAACCAACTTTGCTGAATTTGCTACATAGAGATGTATGATCTTTCTCAGATTACACAGTCCAGCTGTGGGTAAGGGCACTGCACTCATGGCGAGAGCCTGACCAGTGCTCTGCTCTGTGTGACAAACCAGGTATGATAAAGGCTCACACCTCTGATGTGCACCACTTCTATAGCAGCCGGACTGTGGGTCTAGACAGCCCTGAACAGGGGTCAACCTTCATCAAGGTTTCTTTGCAAGAGCAACAGAGACCAATGCCACGTAGCTGGAGGAGCACTGCTCCCTTGTTTGAGCAAAAATGAAAACAGAGTGTGCCAGGACTAGTTTTCACTACAAGACTCCCTGGCTAGCCTAGCTAGCAAAGCAGTGGCTACTTCAGAGTAGCAGAAGAATGAGAACACAGCTATTTCAGTTCTTGGCCCTCCAATATCCCAAATTAAGCTAACTGCAAGTCTTATTTTGCTCTGCTAACCTATGAAAGCCATTTGGGGTTAGGCATTCCTACCAAGCCACATAGCTACTCAAGTACTTTTAGGAGATAGAGCTGCTGTTTCCTTGCGTGTG